CGCTCCATCTCGCCGTATGTTTCAGGAAGAAGCCGCTGTCCTTGTTCTCGAAGTGAACCTCCACCGCAAGTACCACTCCTGTAAATAAAAGACAATGTTACATTCCATGCTACGGATATTATTCTTAAATTTTTAATATATCTTGGAAACAAATGGGTTAATAAGACCTAGTACAATTTTTGTTATAAATAAATTCTCAGATATATAAACTAGCAACACAATAAAACAACGTCCGTCGATGTAGGAACACCGCAATACATATAAAATCCAATTATTTTATTACGTACGTGTGGAATAAAAGAGCAATAGAAGGCACCACTGGCACCACGCCAACCGCATTAACGTTCTCTGGTACCCCCAAATGATGTTTACAAACACTGCGAGTAATTTAAGTGTATTGCTCTTAACATTCTTATAACATTTTAAGTGTTAAAAAAAACTTTTTTTAACGTCGCTTATCAGAACGGGCAGAAAACATGACGTCATTGTTACCAGCGTAATACTATACTATTGGTACAGCGTATAAACTTGTCAGATTCCTTCGATGCCCGATGTGAAATCTTCCCCAAATCAAACTCCCTAACGTGTTTTGGGAAACATAAGGGTTTTATCTTTGTATCCTGAACGTAACGATCTTCGTTTAATACGACAATCACTAATCGGTGTGTTCTAGAATTCAATTTGGATTTAAATCTATTTGAAGAGGGGAATAAATGAAGATTATTTGACAGAGCAGTCGTCGCGCAGCAGGTAATGATAACGTCATCGCAGTATCTCATTGCTCTCATTGAGTAGATTTGCGTCACGTACGAGCGCGATATGAGCTCGCGTTGAATACATTGCGACTGTCACACTCCACTCTGATGAATAATTCACACGGGATACATCTTATTCTGTTATATCTCACTGTGTCACTCGTTAGTGGTTGACTCGTGATGAAATCGAATCCAAATAGAACAGCTTACAGACTACTGGTATAGTCATGTTCGAATCCAGCTATTGAGGTGATCGTGAACAATATAAAGGTTTCATAGCTTAGGCAGGCAATAATTCTAAACACTCATTTAATATGATTATAAGTATTCAGGTAAATAACATCTATATAAAAAAAAATCACAACTCAACAATTAATAATGTTGTTTGTAGTTAATTAAATCTCAAAGGAATCTTTGTAGTTTTCAACTTAAACACTGTCTTAATAAACTTATAAAGAGTTCCTATAGTGTCTGTACCATTTCCTTTAAAAAATTCTGATTAAAATTTACCTTCACTATCTTAAATACTGAATAATGCAAAGAATGTACACTATCTTAAAACGCAATTCCTTTGCGATACACGACAGGGATAATAAAAAGCTTCAACACGTGACGCACTTAGAAAAGAGAAAATATCTTAGGATCCTCCAATCCCTCTCTAGCAGCCGCGTAATGCAGCGCCTTATATCTCAGATCTCTGAGAGAAAAATGAGAAAACTTCAAGTATACGTCGTGTTTAATCGGATAACGCGCATTTCCTAAGTGGTTGCATGAAGGATCTTATATCACAGAAGAGATCCTTTATCTTCATTTGTACGAAAACAGCTAAACAATTTAATAAAACTCCATCTATCGTCTAAATTTAGAAAAAAGTAGATAAATACAATTGGTTATATATTCAGAAATCTACTTTATAGTTTAAGTTAAGTGATGAGCTTTGTTTGAAATGAATTCATTTTGTATTAAATCATTGGATTTATTTGTGACAGAGTCCTAAGCGCGGGTCTTGTGGGGTCCCTCGTCACGGGTCCACGACGCGTTTCTAACAATTGTGACAGCCACTAATCTTGACTACATGCCTTCGGAATTAAGCTTCAATCACTTTGTCCCCGTATTTAATCGTTTAGTAAGAAGCTTAATAGAGTCAACGTTTGTCGTACTTTGTCTTGTATTATACATTCAAAATTAAGTGTATTCAAGGTTATTTTGGAAAGTGTAGTTAAGTTAAGTGTAGATAAGGAATACACTTAAGGAATCTAAACAATAAACGTATTCAACGAAGTTCAACTTGTAAAACAAAAATCACTTTGTAATTACGAAGTATAAAAATTCTTAAAGACTTACGGAATCTCAACAATCTCGTTTTAATCCAATAAAGCGGAGTAAAAGCCGACAAAAGTTTGAATGCTTCGCTTCTGCAGTTGGCGTAGCCACTGTTTATGTTTTAAACACTTTTTTCCATTTACCCTCGAGCTACTTTTTGTTTGTCATTTTAATTTTTTTTCATCTCAACTTGAATTAACTTGCTGTTAAAGAAAAATGATAAGAACCCTCGTGTTTTTTAAGGAATTCTTGCTTTATAGTTTTTTTGTATTTAACAAAACAATTTGAATACATTATTTCTTGTTAGGAGTTATTAAACGACTTAATAATTAAACGATGAATAAAACAGTAAGTTAAAAGCAAGCAAGCAGTAAGAATCATTTTCGTTATTTATCGGAAATTCAAGTCAAAGTACAATGATTGTGGGGCAATAAAATCTCCGATATTTAATGGAAGCGACGCTTAAAATATCCATTTATTCCGTTGTTATGATATGGCGGTTCGTATTACGAAACCAAACGTATCAGCACAACAAAGCGGAGGCAAGTCCCGAGGCAATGCGGCGTGACAAATGAACAAATATTTACCCGTTAATGGACTCCTACATATCACAGCCCTCATTTAGTTGCCGTCAGTCGACGAAATAACACGGTTTTTCTTTTATAATAACGTATACTGTTACAGGGGTAATTGATCATAAAGTTTACTCTTGATATGACTTTTTAATTAAGCTAGAAAAGTGGTGTTATCTTTTTTATTTTACGGTTTTTGTTTTCATTTAAGGTAGTCCTATTAGTTCTTCGAGGATATTTGTGATCACATTCTAATGAACGTTTTAGAATGAAAATTTAAAAGTCGTGTACATAAAACATAAGAAAGCAGATATTATGCTGCCATTACACAGCACGTTGCACGCTCCACTCGTGAAAACAAGTGCAAAATTACCAACTAGGCTAACTAGGAAGACATGTCTTAAATGATGCCTAGCTGAATGCTCCTTGGCTAAAATCCTTGCTGGCTCGCAATTACTTGTCTAAGCTGCTACTTCGTATTTGTTGCGCCCTTTTCTTGAATACAGGACACGAGTATGTGAGTTTGAATGCACGTAAGTTCATATATTGTCGAGGTTTATAGTCTAATCAACTAATCGGATTTCAAAGAGTTAGCTGACATCAGATTTGTGATAATTACGTTTTTCATCTTGGTTGTGTCAGATATATAAAATCAAGTGTATTTTTTAAATAACTACGTTTAATGAAGTAAATAATAAGCGCTCGTTAATTTAAATTTATCTGTTCTGTAGCTTTAATGATGTACAATTTATTTTTGTCTCTCGAACTAGACACAAGAGAATCCTAAATTTATTTTACGAGGGTGAATGTATTCGATCTTACGCCCTTCAAAGGTCACCCCGATAAGATGGGACGTATCGAGGTTATGTTCAGCCCCAATTTCTCTATCTCTATAAGTTAACATTTGAGTACTTTAGCCAAACTTGAGTACCTTTTACATCTATTTTATATGTGCGTAGTTTTTCGCTTCGAGTCTTATATTTTTCAAAACCGAACCAAACAAAAGAATTTTATTATAAAAAAGTTACAAAACGTAGTTACCTCTCAGCATTTAAATTTCCATTATTTTGCGTCTGCGAAACGCAAACTTTACCCAAGCGATTCGACGTTGAAAAAATAAAATAATACTTGCTGGTGTAGTCTGTGGAAATAATACTCGACAAGGTCTGTGGAAATAATACTTGGCTAGGTCTATGGAAATACTCCGTCGTAGATGTGGCGCCCTCGTCGGCCAGTAATCGACGAAGCGATCGGAAAATACGATATCAATTCGCTAAGCTTGTTGTTTTCTTTTTTCGTTACAGTAACTACGCAAAGGAAATTAAATTGTAGTCGGGGGAATTTTTATTGTGCAAAACAATCATCCCTGACATTCATTGGATGGTTTTTAATTTATTTCTTTCTTATTCCGTTGTCTTTATTGGTAGTGAAATTTACTAGCTAGTTGGATGGTTTTCATTTAAACTTTTTTTTTTACAATATTTCGCAAGTGGCTATCTCGGTCAACTTATTGTGAATGTTTCAGTATTGCTTCGAAATATTATAGAAGAGGTAATTGCATTTTTTACCATGGTATTCTGCACAGCATTATTTCAATCCAACTACAAAATATAATTAATTTCGTCAATTTGTCCACACAATTTTCTTTCAGACTTTAGATTTGATTACCACAATAAACAACGTTATTTATGGACATGTAA